CTCCTATGTGGAACATATGCGCACTGCGGCCAATGGTAGACCATCTCGTGGATCTGGTCCTTTGCCCTGCCGATGAGGATTTTCATGAGCCCCTTTCCGACTGGATGTTGGAGGCCAATTGGCCTCCAATCCAGTGGCTTGTCATTCTTACCCTTAGGTTTAGGTAAGAGTGCCACAGTAGCGTTGGCCCAGTCCTGCTCGATGTGAAGCTGCTCCCGGCTCCATTGGTTGTTGACCTGCTGAGTGATGAAAGGTGCAACTTCCGCTGAACAAGCCCGCCAAAGAATAGACGGGGCTGCTACCTTCGGGACGGCCTTGCGGATGGATGCGGATGGGTAGACTCTCGAGCTGATGCCAAACCTCCGCAACTGAGACTTGAACGGGAGCGTGGATCCTAGGCTGAGTGGTGCCCGGTGATGGTCGAGCCCCATACCTTGCCCCAAATGCCTCGATGATCCAATCCAATTCCGCTTCCGGGGCCATGATGCGTCCCTCCTTGTAGAGCTGAAGCGGTTTACGCTTGATTTTGGGCGCTAGGGTCTGGACCACTTTCCATACTTGATGCATGTCGCCTCGTTGTGCCGCCTGTTGCGCGGTGGTGAGGAGATCGCGCTTCCGAGCTTTGCTCCTTTGGCTCGGGCTTTGTGCTCTCGATGGGCTTGGCTGAATCTAGCCCAGAGCTGCCAGGCTCTGAAGATGCCTTGTGCCGTGAAGGGTTGTGCTCTCATACTTCGAAATATCCCCCACATGGTCCTGGCCTTGTTGTGTAGTTCCTCGATGGCCTCCCCTTGCGCCTGTGTGTTGGGCTTGGTCTTAGGGTAGAGCTCAACCGCCATGGAGTTGATGTCTTGTTCAAGCTGATGCATATTTGCCCATCGGTCCTCTGAGAGCCCTTGCTGGACTTGTTCCCGTAGTGTTCGAAGAGCTTCGGGAACTGCTGCCGACCTGACGTCATCAATGATTTGTTGTAGATGAATAGCCGGTCGGGTCACTGCCGGTGGGGCTGATCTCGCTTGGGTCGGTACAGCAATGTGTGCCATGACCGGATGGTGGGTAGCTCCTTCGCGCCAGCAAGCAACCGGAAACTGAAGCAATACCTCCGCTTGCTTAGCTCTACTGGTGGCCTGGGATTGTCTGCAGAAGATGTAGTCGATCTGGGAGGAGAGGTCACCGAAGGTGAAGGTCGCGAGTTGCCTGTGTGTGGGACGATTCCAGGAGTTGAGAACGGACAGTGCAAAAGCTGAGAAGATTGCCATGAGGTCCCCCGATTCCTTGTTATGTCGCTCTGGTGAAGGCATAGTCCAGGGGCCACAGACCTTGTCTGTGGTAGTACAAGTGGTATTATAATCTCCTGCTGCAATCAGAGCATGTCTGTTGGGAATGCCTCGTAGAGTTTTCTGAAGTCGCGTGAGGAATTGCTGCCTGCGTGCCGGGGTGAGCTTGTTGTCATTGGCCGTGTATTGATAGACATTAAGGATGTCAATGGGTTGCGCACGGTTGATTCGGACGTGTAGCAATCTGCCTGGGTGCACTGCATGGAACTGGATATCAGAGTGCTTGGCCAGTCTCGTCGAGACCATAACCAGCAAGCCGCCGACTCGGTCCTCCGGGGAGTGGCCTGCAGAGTGCACGAAGTGAAAGTCAGCCGTGCTCCAGTTGGCGTCATAAACCCACCGCGTTTCTTGTAGCACACAAATGTCCAGCAAGGCGTCTTTTGCGTAGGTCTCGACCTCGCGGAAGACTTGGGCATGTAGCCCCCCTGTGTTCCATGTGAGAACCCTGAGTGACCTAGTAGATGCAGAGGTGGAGGGTCCCGAGGTCCTAGGCAGAAATCGAGTTCTGATCCTCACTGGTCTGAACCATTGATGCTCCCGCCACACGCATTTGTAGTAAGCTCCGCCGTTCCGGCAAGCCCTGGCGAAGGCACGTTGATAGCTACGTTTAATCCTGGTGCTGTCTGTGGTACTGGGCCCTTGTGCCTCCCATATACCCGCAAGCTTTGTCGTGACGACTTCAGGCATCCTAGCGGGGTCGATGCCAACCCTCGCCTCTGTACCCACTGATCTAGTGACTTGAAGACATGACAGAAAGATCAGCATGTACAACAGTCTCGGTGAATAAGTCCTGTGGGCACGGCCAGACTTGGGACTGGCCCGGCGAGCAGAGAGCACAGCACTGAAAGATCCTGTTGTCAAGGACGAAATCATGGAACGAATTTGTGCATGTAGTCGCGGTGGAGCCTGGGTCTCCTTGTGATCTGGGGGTGGCCGTGGTTGCAATCGTCGCCTGCACCAGCTCAAGATCGAAACAAGACTCGGAAGTCTGCGAGCACTGGTGGTGGCCGCCTGTGACATACATGGTAAGGACCCTGCCCACGTACACAGAGTAGTCGAGGTACCGTACCTGGCCGCCGTAGAGCGAGATTGGCAAACAAACATCATGTCGTAGAAGAACGTGTAGGTGAGGAACATGGACATGATCACTGGCATGTACACTGCAGCAAGCAAAGAGCACATTGTTATTTTGTGCCGTCGCGATCTGCAGGTCTCGGTGAGCCTGAGCCCGGACTACAAGCACAGAGCCCCAACAAAACATCGGAAAGTGTCCCAACAGCACTTCGAGACACGTAAGCTTCGCACTTGCGAGAGGGATGTTGCCTTCGGCTTCGCTGCGGCTTCTGTCGAGTCCGGTAGCTCGCCCTCACGATGGCTTGTGGATGTAGCCGTGGGGGCTAAGGAGGAAGACGCCATCGGTGCAGCGCTGGGGTCCACGAAAGCCGGGTGTGAGCCTGAGCCAAGCGTGCTCGTTGTGGTCTGGAGCCGGCCGAGGGCGGTGAGATCCGGGTGACCTCGTCGGTGGCCATGCGCTCCAGGTCCTCGCCGTTGGTCCCAACCACAGCCGAAGAGGACGTCGTAGTATCTGGGGATCCTTCTTCCTCTTCTCCTACGTAGAGCAGGTTCGGGTGATCGTCGTCACCCTGTCTCCATGGTTGGGTGCAAATCCGAACAGAGCTATACTCAGCCCAATGAAATGGGATGTGGCATAGAATCCATTGTGGATTTCCCCCATCTCCCTCAGAACTTGCGCTGTGGCCTGGGAGATTGCGTGAGCTCGGTGCAAGGGCCTGAATGGGCCGAGGGGGCGGCGGACCCGCCGGCTCCCGCGGGAGCACCGAGTTCGCCCTGGCATCCGTGCCCTCGTCCACCGTGATCTCCAGGTTCGACTCCGCATTGGAGTCGTCCGGGTGCCAGAGTGCTCGCCTTGCACGGCCCGCCATGTCCGCTGCAGATCCTCCTGTGCTCTGAGCCCTGTAAGGCGACATGTGCCAAGCCATGACATGCTGCAGAAAAGTCAGACTGCACACGACCTGCTTCAGCACTCTACTGACGAGCTGTCTCTTCAGATAACATGGCAGAGGGCACTCCCTGACGTTCCATAGTGAGGAGATGATCTCGGCCAGCCTGCGTCCCCCCGAGCCCAAGGCTGAGAAGATGCAACCCCTTCTCCTGTTGGAGCGGCGCCTCCGTCGGAAGCGCCTGGTTCCCTGCTTGGGTCGCCTCTTAGTCCATAGTGTGCAGCGGCAGCCGGCCTTCCGGCCAGAGGTGTGGAAGTAAATCTGGGTAGTACAGCCACGTCCATCTCCAGAGAGCCAATTCGTTGGGCGGGTATCGTGACCGGCGCGCGGCCCATAGCGAGACACAGTGATGCGAGCAGCAGTGTTCGATATCGAAGTCATTGAAGTACTGCGGGTCTTGTAGGTATCCTCCAGCTTTGCACAGCATTTGTAGGCCCAGCTGTGAAAGCCAGTGCTGCCTTCGTCGCGGGCAGCCGAAGATCTCCCTAGCGTGCTGCCGCCCCGGATCCACCGGGATCTTATTTAGCGCTCTGTGCAGCCGAGAGTCTTGTCGTCGTCGTCGTCGTCGTGGTAGTAGTAGTAGTAGTAGTAGTAGTAGTACTGGTAGTAGTAGTACTGGTAGTAGTAGTACTGGT